AGGAAAAACCCTGGATAACCATGATGGGCGAGTGATATGATGAGTGTACCGGCCTACATCATCGTGTCCGAATCGTAGACCAGTGATTAAGCAGAACTCCTTCCGCCCAAAACAAGTATACGCCGGTGGAAAATGAAACCATATCTCTTCCTCACCACGTTGTATACTGTCGGGTAGATCGCTAGTCATGGTCTGAAGCCACAAATGGGTCAAATTAGCATCTCCACCCGGATGTTGTACTCTCAGCCATGGCCCGAAGCAGGTTTCCTCAAACAATTTTCTTTGTGCAGGTGAAAGCTTCGAAGCAATTGTAGTGGCTAGGCTAACTTTATTCCTTAATGTCAATGAAGCCGAAAAAAATTTCTACAAAAACAATAAACATACCAAGTTAGATATACCAAAAAACTACACTATGAAGATATACCAAAAACAATAAACATAAACAGTAGTTTATTCTTGAAACTAAAATTTGCAACACTGTTTTGTCTTTTGGTTGAAATGAAAATCGCAACGAGAGAATGAAAATCGCAACGCGGAAATGACTATCGCAACGAGATAATCGCAACGCGAAATGAAAATCGCAATGCGATTTTGGTTTCGCGTTGCAATTATATCGTTGCGATTTTCATTTCGCGTTGCGATTCTCTCGTTGCGATTTTCATTTCTCTCGTTGTGATAGTCATTTTCGTGTTGCGATTTTCATTTTCATGTTGCAATTTTAAGTTTAGAAACTATTCTTCTTCTGCATTACTTCAACCAAAAGACAAAACAAAGACAAATACTAACTTCACAGGGTTAAAGACTAAACAGTTTAGCAGTATTGGCAGCAATCGAATGAATTTAATAAGAAATCTAAGTGAAATAGTTAATCTATTATTGAAATTACCAGTAAACTTATCATCAATTTCAATATAAAAAACCTAAAATAATGCAAAATTTTCAAAATAAAAATAATTAAAAAAAACTAACATTCGGAGGTTGATTTTTCATTTCTGAATGATTGTGAGGTGATTTCTAACCGTGAATGGTTGTGAGGGATTTCGCCAGAGATGGGGACGGAAATCTTCGGAGGTGGGGACGGATTTCGCCGTAGAGAGTGAGAGATGGAGAAGTGACTGAGTTGTGATTTTAGGTTTTAGGTTATGAGTTGCGATTACGGGATATACTGTAGACGGTTCAGTTTCCGATATATTAATATATTCGTGTTTGGAATTTGAAAAAAAAAATACGCGTTAATACGAATTGCGCTATGTAAATCGCAATGCGAATTAGGAAAATCGCATTGCGATTTAGGAAAACCGCAACGCGAATTTGGGAAATCGCAATGCGATAGTCAGAATCGCGTTGAGAATCTGGAAACTGATTTATGATACCGGAGATCGCGTTGCGAATTAGTTGGTCATTTTGGCAAATCCAAAAAAAGTTGGTTAAAATCGTATATTATAAGGCATTTTTGGTCACTGAGGTTATTTTTCTCCTAATTTAATCTTAGCCAAAACAAAATTATTTACAACCATCAACCATGGGCCATAAGCATCTTAGGTGATGTTTGGTTCGCTGAAATATTTATGAAGGAATTGAAATCTGTAAGAATTGGAATTTGAATCTGAAACCTGTTTGATTGACAGGAAATTGAATTGGAATCCAATTCCATATTCTGTTTGGTTCGCAGACATGTCAGATGAATTTGATTTCAGTAATATAAAATGACATAATTGCCTCTCTTATTTTTTTGCTTAATTTTAGTTTGTTTTATAACTTACGTATATGATTATATTATAAAATTTTTAAAAATATTAAAATTTCATTTTATTGATTATTTATTTCAATAAATTATAAAAATCATACTAATAAATATTATAAGTTAAAATCATCCCAACTATGGATGACCATGAGTCAGGTTGGGTCGTATTTTTTGGTCCACCCGACCCGAGAACAAGGGAACCTCAACCCGAGACCCGACCAAAATAAAGTTTCACCCGACCAGAATATCACACTTAAAAAAATCCGACCCGAATATCAAACTTAAAAAAACTCGACCCGAACCCGATTTTTTTAAAAAAAAATGCTACCCGATCCCTAATTTTTTTTAAAAATAATCTGATCCAAATACCAAAAGATTGATGAAGGTAATATAGTTAAATTTCACATTTTCTCTTTCAAATGATTTCAATTCCATCATGTTATGGATGAAATTTATTTTCACTCCCTTGATGGAATTAGATTTTAATTCCTCTTTTAAAATTTGAACCAAATATGAGAGAGAGTGATTGAATTAGATTCCAATTCCGCTAATTTCAATATGAAAATAAACAAGAGTATTCCCCGTTCATTTTGTTTTCAACTTCTCAGCTCAGTTCACAAGAGCACAAGACCAAGTGAAGATAAAGGATCAGAAAAAGAGGAAGGGTGAAATGGCTAGGTGCGGTTTTAGGTCAATTCATGTTCCTACCATCGATGTGGGATTTCTACGCACTCGCTCTCCATTAACCGCCGTCGGAGGAGTAGTTACCGGCTCTTCCCTTTGGCGATCCTCCTCAAGAGACGGCTCTCCTTTTGCTTGCTTAAGCCTCTCCATTTCTCCTGGTAACAAAAAAAGACCATCCAATAAAATAATGGGTTTCTTTTCACTGTTTGATTTTGAGTTTTATTTGATTGGCTGCTTTTGAAAATGGGTTAATTCGTTTGGTTTTGGATTTTAGTTTTAATCGAGTCTTAAAAAGTGTTGTTCTCAATCAAGTGAAGGTGACAGGGAAAGAACAGGTTTGTGATTTGTGAAACATCTGGCCTTGGTTTATGGTGGTTAATTGATAGTTTGCTAGTTAGTCGTTTTTGTAAGAGACATTTAGGGAATTTATATTTGATTTCTTGCAATTTTACTTCATTGTGTTTTGAAGTCTAATATTTGATAGTCGATCAGGATTGGTAAGGGTTTGCTGCTTCTATGATTCAAATATATACGAATGGACGTCTCCTTCTTAAAGGGTTGTTTTGTTTTATGTTACTCAGACCAAATATAAGTGTGGATGTGAGCAAGTGTGTCATGCCGGACGGGCGCATTAGGAGAAGTAAAAAGTCAGGGCTATAGGGGTTCATTAGATGCACCTAAGGTTTGTTATTATGTTTTTATTGTAGGGATTAAGGAGGCTGTGGTGACTGAAAAAGCTCCAGCCGCATTGGGACCATATTCTCAGGCCATCAAGGCCAATAATATTCTATTTGTCTCTGGTGTTCTCGGTCTTATTCCAGAGGTTTGCGGAATGTTCATTAAACGTTTGTCAGAATATGTTAAGCTTGCATTGCATTCCTAGCCTATGTTACTTGGACTCGCAGTGAAATGTGTCGAATATAGATATTTTAGGGAAAATGAAGAGTTCAGGTAACATAGATCCTAGGTTTCGGTTATATGCGCAATGTACTTATAATGTTATTGGTTTTCTATTCTAGACTGGAAAGTTCATCTCAGACAGTGTAGAAGATCAAACGGAGCAGGTATCTTACGAATATGTGAACTAACGTCTAATGTTTCATGATTATAACTGAATGCATGCTAGTGACTGAAATTTCTTTGTGATTCTGTAGGTACTAAAAAATATGGGTGAAATACTGAAAGCTAGTGGTGCTGACTATTCCTTAATGGTTAAGACAATTATGTACGATTTTCTCTTCCGTTTTGGTTTGTTATATGATGATAAGGTTTGATAATCTAAAATCAGTAAGATCTTATTTGGTTCTTCGGTTTCCTTTGTGCAGGCTAGCTGACTTGAAAGACTTCAAGAAAGTGAATGAAGTCTATGCTAAATGTGAGTACAATTTATAAATGAAAACAAGTTCATCTTTATACAACTTGGTATTTGAATGAGTTAATAAAGTGCAGTAGACTTAACCCTTGAATTCTCATACGTTATACATTTGGTTTTACAGTCAAAAGGTTTGTTCTAGGCCACACATTAATCTGATCATTGCATCGAAATAAAGTTCAAAAGTTATATGTTCACAGTGTGCTTTTTCATCAATGAATCTCTTGCAGAAAGTTGTGGCCTATAAAAGTCATCTGCTAGAATTTTCATGCTAACTCGACAACATCATAGAAACTAGAAATTTATTTCTTTCCCCGAAACTGGTTTGTGTTGCAGACTTCCCTTCACCGGCGCCGGCTCGTTCGACAGATCAGGTAGCAGCATTGCCATCGGATGCCAAGATTGAAATTGAATGCATTGCGGCACTCGAGGCATGATGACAGGGAGATTGAAGTTATTTGAGGCAGAAAACTAAGCTCTGATTTGAGTTATAGATAGGGGAAAAAAACCAATAGCTGAGGTACACCGGGAAAACTTTGATTATGATATTTGAACTTAATAATGTTTGGGACAAGAATCTACAAGTTGTCATGAATTCGTGTCCGGTTCATGCATAAGCAGAGCTTTGAATCGTTTGTTCGAGTTCAATTTTGTTTTTGATACATTGACGTTTTCTTTTCAATAAAAAATATAAATAATGTTATGAATCGCTGGATTTTATTCGTTTTGAACATGATACATGCCGAAATATAAAATGAATGTGCTACTTAAATATGATCAACGTGATACATTTATCATGCATATCTCACTCATGTTTATATTTCACCAATTATCACTATATATAATAATATACTTTCTTAAAAATCTTATTTCTATTGAAAATAACAAGCTTAATAGAATGTCAAAAAACCACAAAGATCACCATTTGATTCTTTGTAAAAATAATAATATGTATCTCACTTATATTTTTAATTCTTAGATTTTTTTCAATTATGATATTAATATAAAATATTTCATAAAAATCTACACAATTTTCTTTTTTTTTTAAAAACCCAAGTTGTCGTTTCCAAATTCCATGTTGGACATGAAAAAAAACGTGACGAAACGGTCCCTGAATAATGTTATGGATCTATAAGTTATCTGTTCCCACTTCCCAAAATGTTGTCTGTTCCGACTTCCCCATGAAGCAAAATCATCAGACAAAATATGCGCATCTATTAGCTGCCACGACTTCAAAATCAATAAAAAAAAGCATCTAAGACAAAATCTAGGCTAACTGCATAATGTCGAGCTCACCCTGGTCTCTGATCTCCAAACCACCACCAATCACCCTTCTCCACCACCAACGTCCACCGCTACCCACCGTCCGTGTCAGAGCCGCAACCTCCAAAACAACCACTGCAATGCCAGATCACCACCCTTCACTTGAAATCATAGGTGGAGGAGCTGAGCGTTTCCTCCCTGCTCTCGATACCCGTCACCTTCCTTACAAGCCTTTCCCCATCATTTGTTGGAACCGCCATCTCGAGACCATATGCGCCGCCTTCTTCCGTGCCGTCCCCGACGTTAAGTACCGCCGTGAGTGCCTCCGGACCAAAGACAACGGCACTATAGCCCTGGATTGGGTCTGTGGCGATCACCGCAGATTACCTCCCGACTCTCCGATCGTCATTCTACTGGTTCGTTTTACATATAGCTCGAATCTGTGTTACCTGTTCTAAATACCCTTTTGTTTGATCTGTTGAAATGAGGGAAAAACAGTGACTTTTAATTGTTTAATTTTCTACCCTTTTGTTGGTGGGAAAATGTTTGCAGCCGGGGCTAACAGGAGGGAGTCAAGATTCATACGTGAAGCATATGTTGGTGAAAGCTAAGAGCAAAGGCTGGAGGGTTGTGGTGTTCAATAGCAGGGGGTGCGCAAATAGCCCTGTTACTACTCCTCAGGTACTAGACTACTAATATAATTTATTTATTTTTACGGATTTAAATTGTGATCACGGACGTATACTCAATTTTATCCCTGATTTGCAGCTCCAAACAGCTTCATTCACGGCAGATACTTGTCATGTTGTAGACCATGTTTCCTCCATGTTCCCGGAAGCAAGTGTTTACGGTGTCGGTTGGTCTCTTGGGGGGAACATCCTTGTTAACTACTTGGGAAGAGTAAGGGAATTTTTTTTATTTCGGAACATATATCCGAGGTATATAATGAAGAGTCCGAATAATATAGTACATTTCGTGTATAAGTTTCTTAATTGTCTGACTTGCAGGAGTACCATAGATGTTCTCTCTCTGGTGCTGTATCACTGTGCAATCCTTTCAATTTAGTGATCGCAGATGAAAATCTCCGAAAGGGCTTCAACAATATTTATGACAGAGCACTTAGGGGAGGTCTTTCTGCAACTTTTTCCAAGTAATTATCCGTGAAATTCCTCTCACTGATTGTGTTAATTGCATTAAATTTTGTAGATATCCTTTGAGTACAGTATAACCTGAAATTATTCTGCAATGGTAGACATGTTTCCCTGTTTGAAGATGTAAATGATGAATATAATGTCCAAGCGGGTCTGAATCCTCGTACTGTACGTGAATACGATGAAGCAATAACACGAGGTATGCTTTTTCAGACATCAAATCCATGTCACTTGAACTCAGAATAGGGTTTTTTAATATTATATTTGAAGGAATCATTGTAACATAGCATTTCCTTGCTGTTCAAGAAATGTTTGTTTGATGACAAAGTTAAAATCTTTAACACATTGCAGTATCATTGGGTTACAAATCAGTGGATGAGTATTACTCAAATTCATGTAGTTGTCATGTCGTTCAACATGTTAGGATTCCTTTGCTTTGCATCCAGGTAATTTTATAAGCAGTTCATATCATTTCTTTACTGTTCAAGCAATGTTTGATTTAGCATCTGTTTTTCTTCAAAACTGGGTTCATTAATGGTGGTTTGCAGGCTGCAAATGATCCGATTGCTCCCATCGAGGCGACTCCTTACGAAGATATCAAGGTGAGTTTGGGTCACCTTGTGAGCCATATCCTTCCGTTTACTAAATGTTTTAACCGGAAAAGATCCTAATGTTTCTCCATCCTTGTGGTTTTTTATGTTCAAGGAAAATCCCAACTGCATGCTGATAGTAACACAGCAGGGTGGTCATTTAGGATGGGTTGCGGGTGATGAGGCACCCTTTGGAGCTCCTTGGACCGATAATGTGGCGATGGATTTTCTTGAACATCTTCAGAACGGTGCATCGAAACCCGAAGCAGCTTGAGCCATGGAGATACAAAGGCCTGCAACAAGATTCAGAGGGCTTGCATCAAACAGTAATTCAGTTGGCAGAGAGCATGCTTGCACATTATCATCATCATCTAATCATCTAGTCTTTGAATGTGTAAACATTAGAGCTCCATTAGAGAAAGGTTAAAAAAGGACACGATCCATATTGTTCATGGAGCGTAGTGTGAATCATGTTCAGGTTTATTATGTTCAACAAATGTGTTATTGAACTCATAATAATTATTTATATACTTCTATCAAGCTACGTCTTAAAATTTGCAAGCTACGTCAACATTTGTGGCTATTTTCTAATTAATAAAAAGATAATAGTTTAAAAGCCATTAATTGCTCAAGTAGTAAAAATACTCAGTATCTTACTTTACATAAAATTTAAATTTATGAAGATAATTATCTCCTTCACATAAAAAATAAATAAAAGGGTAAATTATAAGGGTGACCACTAAACTATTGTCCGAGTTCATTTTGACCATCGACGTTTCGATCCGATCAATCATACCATTCAACTATTTAAAATGCTTCAATCAAATCACTTACCGTCAATTTTTAATGAAAGAGGTAACATGGCAGTTAAAAAATTTAATATAATTGCATATTTGGTCCTCATTATTTATACATTATATCATTTTAGTCATCATTTTATTCAATTAAAATAAATTTGATCTCCAATTAAATCGTGACACGTGTCACTACATGATTAGAGAATATTTTCTTATCTTTTATTTATCTAATCTAATAATCTTTCTATCCAATAAGGTGGGGACACATGTCACCACCATATTAAAAAAAATAGGAAGTAAAAAGACTCCCCTCGCCCATGAAGATTCAAACCTAGGACAACCTATGTACCAAGGAATGCCTAAACCACCAAACTAAGCCTTTAACTTGGTTTTATAATACAACATTTTTATATAATTTGTACCATTTAATGACAGAAAAATAAAGTAAAAATGCTAAAAAATGGGGGGGGGGGATTTGAACCAAAGGTTGCAAACATGGGAGAAACAATCATAATTACTAAGCAAATCAAATACTTAAAAGAAAATTTTTAGTATATTTTATATATTTGTGTTTTTTGTTAATTTAATATTATATATATTTATTAATTATAATTTAATATTTCTTAAGAATTATTTTTCTATTTAATTATATTAATAATTTATATATTAAAAATTAAGAATTATTTATTCTATTAAATTATATTATTTCATTAAATTATTATAATTTAATATTATATATATATTTATTAAGAATTATTTGATATATTAAATTATATTATTCCATTAAGTTATAGTTTATTATATATAATTATTAATAAATATATATAATATTAAATTAACAAAAATTACAAATATATAAAACAAACTAAATGTTTACTTTATTTATTCTCTCTTTAACTGGTACAAATTATATAAAAAAATGTTGTAATATAAAACCAATTCGAAGGCTTAGCCGAGTGGTTTATTGGCATTTAGATGGTCCCATGCTTTAAATCTTCATGGGTGTGGATAACCTTTTTCCTTCCTATTTTCTCTCTTTAATATGTGGTGACATGTGTCATCATCTTATTAGATAAAAAAATATTAGATTAAATGAATAAAAAATAATAAAATATTCTCTAATCAGGTAGTGACACGTGTTACGATTTAATTGAAGATCAAATTTATTTTAATTGAATAAGATGATAACCAAAATGATATAATGTATAAATATTGATGATCAAATATGCAATTATACAAAGTTTTTAACTGCCACGCCATCTCTTCCATTAAAAAGTTAACGTTAAGTGATTTGATTGAAATATTTTAAATAGTTGAGTGGTTTTATTGATCGAATTAAAACATTGATAATCAAAATGAGCTCGGACAATAATTTAGTGATTAATCGTATAGTTTACCCTAAGAAAATTAATCAATAATAACTGCAACTTTACCAACAAACTATTTTATGGGCCCACTTTAACCTAAGTGTCAATCTTTCCTCACTACCAAAATGACAAAAAAAAAAATAATGAGATAAAAAAATTAAAACAAAGGCCAGGTTTTTCTTTAAAATGATTTATCTTTAATCAAAGTAATAAATTTTCTTAAGACAACATCTGAATAGGTCAGCTGTTTTCTTCTAATCCCTATTTCCACGTTACTCTGTACGAAATTTTAAGGATATTTCCCTTTAAATTATTTGGGTTTTAGTAAATTTTGTCCTTCCTCGACTGTTCTTTTCACCTCCTTCTCTGGGTTTTCGATATTTCCATGTTTCATTGACTTGAGCTTTACTTTATTATGCTTGTTGCAGGATTTTTCTTATGTTTGAAGTTGATGAAAATGCTGTGTAAAGATCTACTCTTCTCGCTTTTCTTAATAGTAATTTATGGTATCTTTATTTATTAAGTTTCAAATGGGGTTTCTTCTAGAGCTTTAAAGTTTTATTCTTCTTCTTTTATTATTATTTATCATTTTTAAATTCGAGTTATTTTATAAGTTTATTATTATTCTGTAGATTATCTAATAGATTTCGTGCATGAAAAGAGTTTATTTTTTCCTGTTTAGGGTAAAAAGTAAATAATGCGGGAGAGTTTTATTAGTTTTGTATTTTAATCGACTCTAAGTGTTAGATATAGGTATCTGTTCAACATGTGTACACCAAAATTTTCATTTTTCCCCACATAATATGAGGATAAATTCTCTATATTCACGCCTGAATATGCGTTTAAGACATGAATTAATTGAAGAGAGCTGATAACAAGGGCAATTGGTGTTCATAAATCCTGGAAAGAAACATGATACTGGGGTTTAGGTTTTGCCTTCAATGGATTGAAGGGTGAGGGGATTTCGATATCTTGTTGTTTTTATCAAAATTATATTCCCTTTTTACTCAAAAGTTTGAATTGTTAGAACAGTTCATACCTTCTTGAATTTAATGTTTAGTGATCCCAAGAAATAGTTAAGGTTCAGTTTAATGATTTTTATGGAATTTGAAGAGTTCCTTTCCATTTTGGATAAAAAAAAATGAGGCAATTTTTTTTTGTCATTGGAACACAAACAAATCAGTCATTATTTATTGGTTTTTTTACCTTTTACTCCTTTTGTAATTAGCTAACCTCTGTGATGGCCATGGTTTTTTTGGGTCATGGTTCTTTGCATGAGTATTATTGATATTCACATTGCCTATTTTGACAAGATTCACGTTTGTGAATGCCTATTTTTTCTGGAGTTAAGATGATCGTTTGCACTGTCGAAATCCTAAAGAGGAGTGGTTTCTTTGCCAACCTTGCTATTTCTACTACTCATTTGTTAAGGGTTTGGAGTTCAGTGAGTTATTTTTTAGCGTGCCAGCAAATGTTGCGGTATGACTAGTAACTTTGAGATTTTGCTGTCTGTTTCTCTCTTTTTTTCCGAAGAATAGATCAGTCATGTGGATTTGTTGACTGTAATTTGCTAGTAAATGGTAAAATGCTTCTCTATTCTGAATGTGTCCAAATGTGTTATTTGAAGTTTGAGTGTCAAATACGAGCTTTGGAGATGGACATGTCAGTAAAATTGTAGAATTGGAGTAATATAGGTGTATGATGTGGCCTTAATGTGATCCTGCAGTGATGTTGAGAAGGAAATACTCTTGCTTGAGTGTTTATGTAGTTGAAATTTTGAATATTAGCCTTTTTCTTTGTTGGTTATAGCTGCCTTTTTGTCTTCCAGGAAGGAAACAGTGATAAGATTAGTAGATAAGGCAAATTCTTCGCTGCAAATAGTATGATGAATCAAGACAATGACCAAGAGAATAACCCTGATCCATCAGAAGATTTTCTGCTGAAGCGCAAACGTGGGAGGCCGAGGAAACATCCAAGACATAGTCTAAGTCGGGGGGAGGATGCTCAGACTCCATGGAATCAGAACCCGAACTATGCAGAGAATACCGGTATCCCACCTGGATTTCAAGGGCTGAATGGCAACCGATCACATCAAGCAAATCCTGTCAACGATGATGTAATGGTTGGTCAGGCTGTTAGTGGTGTTATCGACTCAGCATTTGATGCAGGATATTTGCTTACTGTTAGGGTTGGTGACTCTGACACAACTTTAAGGGGTGTGGTTTTCAAGCCTGGGCATTATGTTCCTGTTTCAGCTGAGAATGACGTGGTTCCGAATCTCCAAATGATTAGAAGAAACGAGATTCCCTTCCCACACGAGAGGAATGGAATGGCTCATCAAGTCAATGGACCAGCTGTCACCAACCAGGTGAAACGAGCTCGGGCTTCAAATATTGGAGCCTTAAAAAGAAAGCACTTGCAGTCGGAGGAAACACAATATGTTTCTCCGCTATTGTCCAGGGGCACGGTGGTGCCTGTTTTGCTCCAACCTGCTAGTTTATCAAATGGAAAAGTTGCCAGCCAACAATTAAGCAAGCCTCCTCATTTGGCAGCCTCTAAAGGCAAACAAGTATCTGGATATTCCGATACGGCAGAGGAAAAGTCCGTCAACCCGATGCTAACAGTTGGAAACCAAATATTCCCTACTCAACCTCAAAGTAGTAACCACACCGTTCTGAAAGGCATACAAAGTGAAACTGTTCCATACAGTCAACTCCCATCTGAAGGACTACAGGATAATGACCCTAAGTTGATGAGTGGCATGCCCTTTGAGAAACTATTAACTGAAGTCATGAAAAGAGTTCAAGTCCCCCCTCAACCACCGGAAGTCCAAGATGGTAATTTGTTGGTCAAAGATTTCAGACAACAAATGGAGGATGATCATCCACTCTCTATCGAACCACTACAAGCCGTACAACCCGCTCATCTTTCTTCTGTGCTCAAACCTTTGGAAAATTTCAGAACTGGCAAGATGACCGAGCTGTTGAAGGTATAATAAATCCGGCTAATCTATTATGCATCTTGATGTTTGACACTGACACTGACGTACTGCACTTATTTTCAAGGCTGTTCAAGAAAACATGAGGGAAAACCAAGCATCTCGGATCGAACAGCCAACCATTGATTCTGAAGAAACAGAGACATGATTCCAACAAGCAGTCACAAGTTTCGAGAGTCGCTAACGTTGTAGAGTGCTTTTAGTTGAATCAAATGGACTGCAAAATGGTTTCAATCCTGAAAAAGGTGTAGGAGCTAGACTTCCCTGGAGGGTTAATCTTAAAAGTTACAATAGGGTGCATCAGATTTTCCTTTGACCTTTTAGGATCAAAGCAGCTTCCATTACTTTGAATAAAGCTTTTCGTTTTTCACTTTATAGATATGTAGAAAAGCTATGTTTTATGTTACTTGAAGCTTTGTCAGAACTCAGTATACAGGGGAACACTAGTTTCTTGTTAAATCTTTTATGAACATCCATGGTGATTCAAAATGTTTTTGGAGGGTAGGTGATGTCTGATTGGAAAATCAAAACCGTTGATTTTGGTTGGTTAATTTTTTTAACGACAATGTTGACCGATCATTAGCATCCACTATAAATAGGGCAAAATGTCGTTGTGTCGTTCTATTTAAATCATTTGACTATTAAAAGTTATAAAATAAATTTTTTTATTATAGGATATTATTTTGTTATCCCTAAACTATTAAAAGTTATAAAATTATAATCGGATTATTCATATATTCCAAACTCGTTCTTTTGTAGTAAAAATTAACGACAATGTGAGTTAGACGTTAATATGATAATTGAGATATGATAATTGTTTGAGATTATGAGATCAGATTTTATCATATCTTAGTCATCATTTAACGTTCAACTTGGACTATTGTTAATTTTTTGACAAAAAATAACGAGTTTGAAACATATGAATAATCGAGTAATTATTTTGTAACTTTTAATAGCGGGAGATTTAACAAAATAATATCTTATAATTGAAGAATCATTTTATAATTTTTAATAATTAATGGACGAAAAATACCCTATACTCAGTACCATTCGTGTACTTTACCCTTATAAATAATACTTACCAAATTTTTTATATAGATACGAAGGGATTGGTCTTGTGAAGTTACGTTTGTAGAAGAAATTGATTTCTCTGTCTCAAATTTGAGTTCATCTTCTAAATTCATTTCTGAATTTCCCCCCTAATCCATGTTTCAGGTAAAAATCGTTCTTACCCACCTTCGTAAAAAAAACGAAAATCTCTCATTGATTTTATCCAAGAAAATGTGATTGAAGATCCGGGAAATTGGCCCCTAAGCCTAAGGGGCTAAGAAGCAAACGAAGAATCTCTTGGTTTCATCTTCAATAAGCCGTCGCCGAGCATCTCGACTCGTCCATCCTGATCCAGAATTGTGAGCTCAAACTGAAAGGAAAAGTCTGCGAAAATAAAAAGGTTAAGTCAGATGGAAAAAACCGCTAGAAGAACATTCTCTATGGAAAGCATTTCCCTAATTGATGAAGTTCAAACTCTGAAATTACTAGTAAACCTCATGGGTGGAGATCATATATCCAAACTCTATTCTTTCTCTAAAGCATAATGATGATTCTAAAATGCCAACTTGCTCTGGCTCTGACTTGGCTCATCATCTTTCATAAGCTTTCTTAATCAATTCAGAGATTTTAAAATTTTCTTTAATCAATTTACAACGACACATATATCTTGTAAATATAATTCTTTGAATCAAACAATATTGAATATATATATTTTTTTATAATTGAGAACATGTTACTCAAGTATGAACTAGAAAAGCTCGAGTTAACTACGGTTATTACATGGAAGGTTAATGAAGCATGCCTCAAATTTGGGTTAACTTTCTTGATTTAATACGAATTTACATGGTATTTATTTTCAAGATTGACATTTAATAATGTTCGATGTTCCCTGGTGAGTAAATGTGATATCAGTATTCTGTATGGGAATATGACACGTAACAGTATTGTCTAATGACCATCTTAATCAATGTAATAATCAATCTATGTTACTAAAGTAGATATTTTATTTTCTGAAATATGGAAAAGATGGTGGATATAGCATGTACTAGCATTACATGGACCAGTATAGTATGCCCACTGTCAAAATGCTTTACATTGGTCAAACATTTTACAAGCCAAAACCTACAAAAAAGTATAAAAGCCCTCAAGGACAAGAGTTCCCATGTAACATTGACGAATCATAACAGCTACAGCTTTGATGCCCCGACTTTCCATCTTCCTCGTGGTTTCTAATCTCTTCAAACTTTGGTTTAGAACACTCGGGATACCGGTGAAATCATACACGGCTTTTCAAAGGCTCATTGATGGCAGAAAATGCATTCATGGGAAAGCTGAAAACTGAATATTTAAAAGTCCCACCGGTCCAACTGCCGCTTGGCTTCTACCATATCTTTCTGCGCTTTCTTCCTCCGGTAAAATATTGGACAATCTCGACTGCAAACATTAATAAAACATAGATTAGAACTAAAATAAAGAAGAAAGACAAAAGCAATAATGCCGTCACACCTAGTCTAAGCAACCTGTCATCACTTTCTTTTCCAAATAAAGCACGTAATCTGCATGGTTCTACATAGTTGTATATAAGCATTAAATCAAGAGAAAGGAGAGTATAACCTAGTGCAGAGCACATCCTGGTGAAGAGAACCTTGACACTCTTGGCACTGTGTCCATAGCCTCCCGAAAAGCTCCTCTAGATCTGACACTGCAGTTTCATGCAACATAAAGTTGAAAGACCTTTGGCTGCTCCAGTGCTAAAAATTATTACTGTGCATCGGATAAAACAGTAAGGGAAGATGTGCACACCTTGAGAAACTGTTTTATAGTAAAGTTCTGCCTCTCTTCCCTTGCAGTGTGAACAGAGTGTTTGATCTGCATCGCTGAGGGTAAAACACAAATGCTATTTATACATGAAAGATATACCATGCATTTGCATACCTGTGCTGTAATCAATATGTAGGTGACCTCTATAAAGTTCTTGCAGATAATTCTACACACACCTATGTATCTACCAATACAGAATTTCTACTTGCAGATCTCTCCGAAGGCTGTTCCTGGTTCAATTAAGTTTCAGAGAGGAAATATGTATGCATGTGTGGAGAACAATGTGGCCAAACTAACGTAGAGTCATTTTATGGGGAAAAAAACACAAAGGGAGTCTGTTAGAATGCATTTCAACATTGAAAGCAAAATCTATTTCTCAGAAGATGCAATATTTCTGAGCATTCAGGAATTCAATGAAGATAGCATAGGAAACCTGAATTATGAAGAACAATGTCATGAGAATTGAGACACCTTTGGTTACCTTAAGAAATAGTACAGAGCAAAGATCATGTCATGAAGAACACTCCATTTCTTTCCAGAAAATGCTAAAAGTTACTAATACATTACATATAAAACATACAAGCAAGTAGATTCATACCTAATTAGCGCTTTGCAGCCAATACAACTAAGTTGTTTCTTTGCAAATTTCATTATTCCACTGTTTGACGGAGTTGAAATGGAAATTGATCTTGTGTGACTTCCATGGAGAAGTTCCTTGCTGGCATTCTTTAAAATGGGCTCAAAAATTCTTAGAAGTGGCTGGTACATTAATAGAATTGTTAAAAGATGGAAAATGTATTATAAAATAAAATGGAAACTAACAGACCATTAACTAACCTTGCTAATTTGATTTTCAAGGTAATATTGAGGATCAATGGGGATGTTATTTTCTAGCACATAGATTGGGTCCTCTGACCTCTCATATGCCTGAATTAGACAGCGTTTAATACCAGGATATTAATAATACAATCATTTGCAATAGAAGAGAGTTTTTTTATGAAAATATCACCAACAAGATTACCTTGGCACCTTTTGCAGCTTTTATAATTACATAAGGCACCCGATCCCCAACATTTGGAGCAGTAGCAGCATCCCGCTGTCAATTATAGACAAAAAGTTCACCCTAATGCTCTAAAATCAAGCAGCGCATTTACAGAAGATATCCAATGGGCGGCCTTACCAGGAAGCCACTACTACTGGCATCTAGTAAAGGCAACACCACATTTTCTCATTTAGAAAATGAAAATAGCACCGGTAGTATTAACAATTATCTAAAAATAAATGATAACATGCAAACTCAGCATAAATTTTACAGTAAGCACATGCAGTTTTTACTGTTTAACAAAGTATCTACAGAAATTAAATACAAGTCACTTAGAAAACAATGCCATCATATCTACGTATTATAATGAGGTTCCTCAAACATATATTATATGTAGCATGCTGAAATATAACAAGAAAAAGCATAATACAAACCTTGCGCATACGTTCAGCAAGTTCAACATGAGCAGCTTTTACCTCATAATCCTCTCCAGTTTTTGTCAGACCCTGCACATAGGAGCAGGAATAAGGCTTAAACAAAGACTGACACAGATATACACCAAGCATTTCAAAAACTTCACAATGACTAAAGCACCATCAAACAAGGAATTAAGGATATTTTTCTCACCTTAGTAATAACCAAAAGTGACAAATCCATTCGGTTCATGAGAAGATCTGAAATGGTATTCTTGACATACTGAACTGCACCAGGAATATCTCTATCGATCAATATTTTGTGCAGGCATTCATTTACAAGGTTTTTGACCAATAAACAATTGTCTCTTCGAACAGTTTCAATGCCTGTTCATAATGAAAGATGAATAAGCATTCAAGTTCAATGAACTTTCAGAAGCTCACGTGGTTGAGAAATATCTTGTTTACCTTTAGTGTCCATTTTGTCATACGTTTTTGGATTTGTCCAAAACAAACCAGCATATCTTTTCTTGCTAATCAATAGGTAGGGATAATAAACCTTCTCGAACTCTAGTTTGATGGGCTAAAAACATCAAGCCAGTATAGAAAGAGGGAAAAAAGAAAAACAACCAATAAGTAAAATAGAGGTTGATAAAAGCAAAAAAAATAACTTTCAAGTGATAATTTGCCATTTCATTGAATGAGATTTGTAGCATCCATGGTCTGAAAGGTAAACTCCAGGTTTACACCAAAAATCAAGATTACAGATGACCAGAATTTTTTACACTGTAACAAATTAAGGCTCGGACAGTTGCAGGACACTTGGCCAGCCCAGGTAGACTTCAACTAAAAAAAAGATGAGACGCTATATCTAAGATCCTAGTAAGGCGATTGACTCTTCTAATGCCTGACTTGGTTACTCTAAATCAATCAGCTTTTGTAAAAGGAAGGAACATCATCGACAACACTTTACTAGCTCAGGAAATAGTTAGAGGTTACAATAGGTCAAACATTTCTCCAAGATGCTCTCTGAAGATTGATCTTCACAAGGCTTTTGATTCTATCGACTGGATCTTCATTTTATCCATCTTGAAAGCTATAGGTCTGCCTCCCATCTTTTCTTCTTGGCTGGAAATTTGTTTTACAACTGCAAGCTACTCTATCTCCTTTAATGGAAGTTTGACTGGGTTCTTCAAGGGTGCTAAAGGTCTAAGACAAGGAGATCCCCTCTCTCCTTTGCTTTTTGTCCTTTCTATTAATGTTCTTTCCAAACTTCTCAACCTAGCAGCTACCAAAGGTATTTTTGGATTTCACCCCAAGTGCAAAAGAATTGGTTTGACTCACTTATCATTTGCTGATGATCTCCTAATTTTTTGCAAAGGAAATATGGAATCTGTAATTGGTGTCTCGAGTGTCTTAGACTACTTCTATGAGATGTCCGGTCTTAAACTCAACGTTTCAAAAACAGAAATTTTTTCTGCTGGAATGTCCTCTGCTGCTAAAGAAAAAATTAAGGAGATTTCTGGCTTTAATATTGGCTCCCTTCCAGTTAGATATCTCGGTATTCCACTGACTACTAAAAAAATTACTGATAGGGATTGTGTGACCCTTATTGAAAATATCAAAACTAGATTGAATCACTGGTCCACTAAACTCCTGAGCTACGCTGGCAGACTGGAACTGATTAGAACAGTCCTCACTTCTATTTCTAATTTCTGGTGCAGGCAGCTCTTCCTTCCTAACTCCGTCCTTGCAAAGATCGAGCAGCTTTGTTCCCGGTTCTTTTGGAAAGGGTCAGACAAAGCAGCTTCTGGAGCCAGAGTTAGCTGGTCCAACATATGTTGTTTGAAATCAGAAGGTGGGCTAGGAATTAAAAATATGAAGATTTGGAATAAGGCTTGTATGATCCTTCTAATTAAGAAAATCCTAGCAGGACAAGGTTCTCTTTGGGTGGCTTGGCTCAACTCTTATGTTTTTAAGGACAAGAACTTCTGGTCAATGGAGATAAAACCAAGCACCAGCTGGTGCATGAAGAGGCTGTTGAAAATGAGACTGGAGGTGCATCAAATTCTGTCCACAGGAGCTGTCACTGCCAGTTCCATTTGGGATTCTATTAGAGAAAAGAGACCCTCGGTTCCTTGGCAGAAACTGCTTTGGTACCCTATGCACATACCAAATTTTAGCCTTATCACCTGGATGGCATTTCTGGATAGGCTTCCTACCAAGGTCCGGTTACAACGCATGGGAGTGATTACTGATTCTCTTTGTGTTCTTTGTTCTGCAGAACCTGAATCAAGAGACCACTTATTCCTTTCCTGTCCTACTGCAGCTTCCCTTTGGGAATCCATCTTCTCTTTATCAGGTTTGATCTTTACTGCCTGCACCTGGGATGACTTCATGTCTCAGGCTTGTATTTACTGGAAAGGAAAATCCTTGCTTTCCTTGGTTATGAAGCTGGCTCTGAACACTTTAGTGTACTTGTTATGGGAAGAGAGGAACAAACGTTTGTTCCAAAGGCGTTCAAGGTCTGTTGAAGACTTACTTAAGGCAATTAAAGAGATTGTTAGTCTTCACTTAAAGGGTAGGACTTTTAATCGACTGCTTATTGTGAATATTAACCTCTGTAATCAATGGAATATTGCCGACCAATGATTCTTCTTGTATGTAATCTGTTTTTGACTCTATTGTATTTGTAGCTTCTTGCTATTTGGATAATAAAATCTACTTATCCAAAAAAAAAAAAAAAAAGGAGTCTTACTTTTGTAAAGGTTCCACTGATGTGTTCTGCAGCTTCTCTACCCAAGTTCATTGCTGCTTCTACATCAGACACACCAAATTGTACCATAACTGAATCTGTATCCCCATATATAACCTGATTATGAAATATTATCGTTAGTACAATTTCTGCCACGATATTCAAAACAATAATATCAAGCAACAACAAATACACACATGCAGGCCCAATTATTGTTTATTCTAATCTCTTTGCCAAGGAGAGAAAGTGGAACATCCAAAAATCGGGTAAGGCAAAGCAGCCTTAACTTACGAAAGCTGAAATAGTTGGCATAGGAGAGGAAATAGGATGTTATGAACATATCAGAAATTTAAAAATAATAAAAGAAACCCCTGTGATTCCAGCAAACCTTCAATCAAATGCTTAACCCGGTCTCAATTCATTTCAGTTAGTATATTACAGCAAGTTCATGACATTACATGTAAGCCTTCAAAGTAAACATTATAGCTAAAGTTTTTGGGATGACTTACCACAGCATTGTGTTCATAGCCTGCTAGCACTGTAAATTTATCTTCAACAAGTTTCTTGGTATGCTCAATCATTTGTCGACCTTCACAACGTAATCAACATGTTAGATCAAACAAAACTAGAATAGTGAATTTAAAATTATTTATAGAGAAGTAAAATTTTCTAGCAATGCTGTTAATAAGATCATTTAATCGTACCGTAGCTTGTAACACTTGAAGAAATCTCTAAACATGGCAACTGACCAACAGTAGCTCCTGTAAATCCATATACAGAATTCGCACTCACCTGAAACAAATAATAAATCATAAAAAAAGCAATCAAAAGAAAATAAAGAAACATTTAATTATACTCCTGAATGCAATATTACCATTTGAAAATGGATAAGGAGAAAAAAGTGATGATCCTACCTTCAAGGCCAGCTGTCTGCCATCTAAAACAGCTTTCTCAAGTGGATCCTTTGCTTCCTAGACTCGTATAAAGAATGAGTAAAAGGAATGAAGGCAAAGAAACAATCAAAGAGAAGAAAAGAGTTAGTATTTTAATAGCACAATATAGAAGCAATAGCAACAGGAAGCAGAATTGTACAATTAAAATAAAACTATTGTAATCACCTTCAAATCAGCTTTTGCTCGTTTCCGAGCAGCTAACAACTCTTCCAAAATTTCTGGAAGTATCCCCTGAAGATTTTCATGTTTCTTATCAATTAAAAATATTGTTATGGATTTTTTTTATAGGAATTGAAGGCCTCATTAAAAACCCCCTTCTTAATTGTATGAGCTTGTAGAGAAGCTCATCAATCAGGGGAAGAGAATATTGTTATGGATCAACAAGAAATAAAATAAAACCTCTAAAGTTCACTTATTTATAGAAGAAATAATTACAACCTTCTGCAGATTTGGTTTAACAAAAGTTTCACCAGATGGAGTTCTGTTAACACATTCTGGTGGGAGGTTGAGTTTACGAACATCTTCAGGAGTTACCTTCAAAAAGACCGTCCAAGATCAGAATTTCCCCAAAAGTCTCGCAACATAAATTATTGATCGAAGTAAAAGGAACATAAATAAAAATAACATAAAATAACAGCTGAACGAGACAATAAAAACAAAAATAACTTCGAAGAATTACCAGTGTGCAATAGCATAAATTATATGCCATCATAATTGACGGATACAAAGATGCAAAATCCAGTGTTGCAATTGGCTTTTCATAGAATCCTGCCTTCGCTTCCAACACCTGAAACAGAGCTCATCAACATGATACATATGTCAGTTGAATCCTTTAGTGAGGTAGCTGTAGTTTTATATAGCAAACAATTAAAAGGGTAAGAAATTTGAGAATGAACTTACAGTTGCACCTTCATATGTTCCCTGTTCAGATCCTGCCTGTTTGACATTTGGAATAACAAGGTTTTTCTGCTTAGATTTCCTAAGAAGTTGAGAAAGTACCTGAAAAAATCAATAAAGAATTTAAATTCTATCTATTAATCATTTGATTCATCTACAGAAACTTAATGTTCTACAAACCTTGATACTTTGTCCTCTAGAAAGAAGAAAAGAGATGGGCACACCTGTGACGCGAGCCATCTCAACATAATTGTAAACATACATTAGTTTATCCAAAAGCCTCTGGGGAAGGTATGCATCCTGCAACCATACAAGAAAAGGTATACTGATTCAGTCATAATTGTAAATATAACTTAGCTCCAAATGGTTCAACCACCTCACTTAGGAGGTAGACTTCTAGAAGGCTGGGGTTCGATGCCCATGGCAATTTCCCTTCCCCTATCCCCTAGGCGTTGCCTCCTTTGTATCAAAAATGCAAAAGCATGGTGCAAAAGATGCCAAACAAAGTCTTCACAGACATACTAAATGATAGCTATTTTTGTGAAACCAACTAGATGGGAGGGGGAGCCTACTATCACAAATGCATCAAGAGGCTCAGGCAATTGAGTTGAAAAACACATGAAGACAAAGAACAAATCAAACTTCATTTCAATCACTAACAATCATCAACCAAAGTGTAAGTCAAGGAAACAATTCTACTCAATATAAGAAAAAGGTGGAATCAAGTTTCTTTTAGCCTCTCAATCCCTGATGGGACCTGAAAGTCTATAGAATCTGCTGCAACCATAATTGTTTGTGCACTCAAGTTTTGCAAGTTAGACTGAAACCAACTATGTACCTTCAAACAATAAACGGCAAGACGCCTCCTAGTCTCAGCATTCCCGTTCTGAAGATCTGATATTATTGAATGATGAACATCCTCTTTCTGCAAAAAAAGAAAAGCAAGCACAAAACTTGGGTTCAACTTTCAGAGAAGAATGAAAAACAAAAGAAACCACAAATGCTGAAAGGTAACACATCTGCAAAAAAATTCTTATATTTAAATTAACCCTAGAAACCACTAGAAGAAATCTAACAGCATATTTTAACTATTAAGACATAATTATGGAAGTAGGTCATAATCTTAGAAGATAAATTCTAACCTGTTCAGAAAGAAAGTGAGCTGAAACTGAATTCAATGAATACGAACTTAGTTTGTAGTCCCGTTGAATAGCCTACAACAAAAAGAAACAAAGTTTAAAAAATTGTGAATACGAGTCATTTGAACTGTCAGATATAAATTACAGACTTATGAAGTTGAAAAACTGCAAGCAAAAACCTGGAGCAAATCAAACTGAACTCTCCCCTCCACAGTAACTTCTTTGCTCTCTCTAGTTCCATACTGTCTGAAAAACAAGTCAGCATCAATAACCAGAAAATATACTAGTAAAGCAACTCTTAAATCGACCAGAAATCCAGAAACAGACACTGGGGAAAACCCACAATAGTTATTCATGCTACGACAGAATTTTTTTTTTATAAGAATAGGAGGCCTCGTGAAAACCCCCCTTCATAACCATCGAACTACTAGAGTAGCTCAACGGACATTGGAAGGAGGAAAAGAGTGCCACAATTATTTTATTGCTAGAAACCAAATACACCAAGGGTTCAATAATACCAATTACAACCAGAACAACTCAAAACTAATGACAAACCATTATAACAGCATGACATAAACTATTTAACCTATCCCTATCTTAGCAAGTTCATCCGCTTTTCAATCAGCTGCTCTCATTACATGCCTAACAGTAACACCTTTCTCCACTACAAAGGAGACAATGTCTTTCACCAATGAGTTGAACAGCGGGGTGCAGGAAGTAGGGCTCTTAATCCACTCCAAAGCCATCAAACAGTCGGATTCTAAAATGAGCTTACAACATGCTGAACTCCCCGACTCCAATGAAGAGCAGCAACCCTCTTTTCATTGCCAAAAGTTCTGCCAAAACTGGAGGACCTGGACCAACACTCTCGGAAAAAGAACCCAACACCACACCTTTCTATAACCTCACTTAAAGCTATGACAGAAATATGATAAAATGTAATGACAACAGCTCAGTTAAAAGCTTTTGTTCAACAGTTGAAATTACAGATAACACAAGTTTCCTTTGCTATAACCTCACTCTGAATATTAGCGAGGAATGAATTTCAATAAGGATATAGAGTGAAGAAGCTAGAAGAATCCAAGATTGGTTCACACTAAGCTAATCATATGACCTTTCAGGTTATAGCCTTATAGGAAATAGAAACTTAGAAGACAAGACATTTAAACACTGCCGAGGAAACAGGAGCAACTAACTTGCCATTGGAAAAGCATTCAGTAACTAGAAATTCTAATTTGAAAGGATAAAATTGATATCTTCAAAATAAATAAGAAGGCAATGAGGAGAGAAAGAGTCAATCTATAAGTATGCCATCCATGTTTTCTACTTTTAGGGAGATTATCATATTCTTTGCAATTGCAGTATGAAGTAATAAGATAGGTATAAGGCAGAAAATCAGGCCAACTACAGCCTACAGCGGCATTATAAGAATAACAGCCATAACAATCCTTTACCTTGACGAAAATGTTGTATCTTTTACACGAACCCTACTATTTCTGATGCGGCCAAGTATGGGAAACTCTTCTATTCCCAACGTTTGTGCTCTCTGTTAACCAGAAAATTAAATGACGGAAGATTCAATCACACAAGTCCTAGACAAATAAAAGGAAACCCAACATAATAAACTAAACAGAAACCTTTGCTGCAGCAACATTCATGGAGAATAAAACAGAAGTTCGTTTTTCATTTACCTCAATAAGATAGGGCAAATCAAACTTGCAAATGTTATATCCAATTATAATATCAGGGTCCACTTCACGAATAAACTCCTGCAAGGAAAACCTTCCTATTTTAAAAAAGGTGTGGTGACAGAAAGATTTTCTTTTCATGTAAGACTAATGTGAGATTACCTATGGTATTCAAGGAACTGGTTTTGTAAAATGGAAATTGATCATAATATTAGCTTAAGAGCCACTGAGAAAGAAAAGTAGATTGCTGGATGTAAACTTAGGCTTACTGGTAATTTTCGATGATTTCTTCAGGGCACTTCGGTAAATTGCAGAAAAGCCTTATATTTGGCTTGAGAAAGCATGTGTTTTCAAGTTTTTGCATTTTCGGAAGTTTCTCAATTCAATACAAATGATTTTAACAAATGGAATAGAAGAAGACAACATAAAGGTAGAACAAGGGTGACCGGGGAAGTTGCTTAATAAATCTCTTAAAAGGTTTAGAACATGTTTTGAACAACTAAGATAAGAAAGAAAAAAGAAACGCTTATCGAGAATTTTAATAATACACACAAATGGATATCTTCTTTTTTATGCCCAAGTATTAAAGTAAAACAGAGAAGTTTTAAGAACAAAACCAGTACCCTCCAAGCAAGAAAGACTTCTTTTTCTGTATCAAAAGACATCACATCAACACCAACTATTGGGGAGCATGACTTGAGGGTCATAACATTACGAATGAATGGCTGATCTTCTCCTTGCAAAGTAACTAGATTTGCTATCTGGAAAGAAATAAAAGAAATTCTTCAGAACTAGCGAAAGAAAATGATCAAATAGTTTTCGATCAATCCTTCATCAACATGAAGTCAGGATCCAAAGAACCAACATAATAGTTAATAACCTTTTTCCCGAAATCAAAAGGGTCAATTGAACAGAGGAACAAGACCTGGATTACAGGATCATGAGTAGGCTCCGGAAAATGACCTTTTCGGCCAGCACACTCTATATCAAAACTCAATATGCGAAATGGAGCCATCTTTGAGAATTCCCCTTCAGGAGCAAGGCTAATCAAATCTGAATACCTAAGAACATTAAGGGAAGAGAATTAAACCAGGAGAATAGACACAACAATGAAACAGTTGAAATGCTCTTAATAGACCAAAGAAGAGGTTACAAGCAATCAAACTCCAATTGGCTGTAGGACATATTCCTCATTGTCTTCTTATATTGACCAGCCGGTATCTCAATCCAATTACCACCAACGATGTTGCAATCTATCATGAAACGCAGCGCGAAAAGAACATTGCTTTCATATGTCATGAAACTCTTCATACCAAGTCCATCAATTTGTATGCCTCTATCAAGAATGCCTGCAAATCATTGGCGATTAACAAGCCTGGATATATACAAAGAATCGTGCAGTTTTCTAGACTTCAATTATGAACAAATTAAAGAGCTCAAGTCAAGAGAAAAAACGAGTTAAAAATAATTTCAACTACAGTAAGGCATTTCATGAAGTGAAGGAAACTCAAAAGAATCAGGAATTTTACCTCGGCAGTTAGCAACCATAGTTGGCAGTGCCACTACAATCTTGAGAAAAGGTTGAGACTTTTGTTGTTGGTAATGCATAATACTCCTTTTCTGAACCAATTCAATGCGACGAACAAACTTTGGTACTTTGCTGTTTTTGTTCTTCTCCTTCATCCTAGCCTGTAATCAATGTAGCTGAAACAATTAAGAAGCAACTCAAAAGAGGTGAATGTTTAACCTGAGGAAGTGGTAAACCCAAATACCTCGAGGGTTTGATGAAAATGGGAGATATCATCGGGACCCATTCCTGATGGGCAGCTAATATAGAAATACGGCTCAAATCCATGAACAAGACAACAAACACTGTGTCCTATAAGAGCCGATTTAAGCAATTCATCAGATTGACAGCAAATTTACATTTTGGGATATCGTTAAAACTAAAACCAGACACGGTCAATAATATCAGTATGTCTTTAGTATTTTTAGAAGCTAATGTCACGTAAAAGATTTTCGAGAAACTACCTTCTCCAGTAACCCCGAAAATTCTGATAATGGCGGCTGGACCAGAAGAATCAGGCAGAAACCTCCATGACTCTCTCCAATCACGTAATCAATCTCCAATTGCTGGAAAACTAAAGCACCACAGAAAGAAGAAATAGCTCAAAATTTCCAAAACAACCTTAAAAACCAAAATTTACAGCAAAATGTTTGCTTTTTAAACTTACCAATGCTACGAGACTGGGACACGTAGGCGTCGGAGAGAGGAGGGCGCGCCCACCTGGAAAGACGAGAAGCGAGAGCTTCACGTTCCTCTAAGTCGCGCAGAATTAGGGATTCCACGTCTTCTGCCCCCATAAGGGTTTCGTCAAGGAAGACATCTTCATCAACGAAATCCTCTTCCGCCGATGGTGGCGGAGGCGTCGGAGCAGTCGCTTGGTGTTTCGTCGCCGGAGATGGCTGGTGCGAAGACGGCGGTGGTGGCCTCTTCCTTGGGTTGCCTCCATTGTTCATGATTTGGTGTCGTCTTGGAGTGAAGAGAGTGGTGGGAAATGGAGTGATTTAGGGGGGGTTTCGGAGTTGACAACAATGACAAGAGCCACATTCCCGCCAGTTTTGGGGAATTTTACGAGGGAATGTGATGTCACGTGTTATGCACGTGATTAACACTGTTTGGAATTTTTCTTTCCTTTGGGCTCCGCATTAGCCTATAAGTCGATCCTTAGTATTCATGCAGTATTTTCCTTAGCATTATACGTTATACTGTTGAAAACATTATATTATATTATTTATTTAATAAAATTATAATATTTGATTATAAAAACATTATTTATAAATTTGATGAAAATTCAAATCATATTATCAAGTCTTAATAAAAATTAATATAAGTATAAATAATAATAAATCTGATGTGCGTATTAAATTTTATTGTTAAGTGATTTGATATTTTTTATTTTTATTATATGTTGTACAAAATTTATCAAGTTTTTGGTAAGAAATAAAATATTTTTTAAGGTATCACTTTAGAAGAAAATCATACATTTTTGACACAAGGAAAATTTAAGTTTGCATTCTATTGGACAGTAACCAAAAAATGCACAAATAATATAAAAATGTACTAAAGAAATAGAGAAATAATAATTAAATCCATCAAATTTTGAGCTTTGGTGCCAACCATCATTAAAATGGAGACCCCATTTCTCTAGACTCGACTTGTGTGGACACGTGTGTCTTAATCCCAATAATAAAAGCTTTTACGGGAGCTAAAGTTCAGTTGGTATAGCACAAGGTTCTTAATTTTGAGGTCGTGGGATCGAGTCCTACGGAGGGTATTTCATAATTCGGATGTCTTCTACGAAAGCTGCTCTCAACCTGGTGTTGGAGGCAATCTACTATCTTACCTCCTCTTATATCATTACATATGGGAACAAGGGACAACCATTTTTTAATCATCGTATACATAGTTTTAGGTATAAATAATATTTGTTTCTCAATCTAAAATGCTAACAACATCATTAACAAGCATAGAGAAGGATAAGATCAAACTTATATATATTTTTTTAAATAATTTAATAATTTTAATTTGTTTATTTGGTTCTGCATGTCCTACTCAATTTCATTAACCATTTTTACACCGCAAATAAACCAATTTATTTAAAGTCTGGTTAGGTAGTTTCTCTAGTCCAAGTGTCCACTATGATAGAAGGCCATCTATTCACAAAATTAACATTATTTAATTAAATAAAAATTAATTTCCATGTTTCAATTTCGACAATGACTCCAACTCTTTCGTCGTCATGTCTTATATTATTTTGGATTTTCGTGAGTGCTAAGTTCATAATGTTGAATGTTAAGTGAATCTATTTACTAATATACTGTTACCATATATGTTATAATTTCGTTTTAATTTATATAATGGAATAAATGAGTTAAGTCATTATATTTGACTCTAACAAATCTCTCGAGTTTATCATATGTCTTATCGAAATTTCTGGTCAATTAGAGAACTTCATTTGTGCGAGAGTCTCTTTGGATATTAAACGTTTAAACATGTTAAATCATATTTATAATATCGATAATCATGTTAATCAAGTCAGATTCAGTTGGTAAACAAGTTATAATTAAAACGGTAATTTAATTATCACGTCATCTGATTAACCATATAATTAACTTAACAATGTAGTAATTCAATTCATACGAAATATTATATCAACTAAGCAACACTAATGAGGAAAACGATATTGCCAATGGTGGGTACATATTAATAATGGCAACTTTTGATGGAAGATATATGATAGGTAAGAATGTAGATGGAGAATCAATGCCATCAATCAACCAATATCAACAATCAATGTATTTTTTAAATAATCATATGGTATGAGCTTAGGGAAATGGTTAAAATATCTTTTGACGATCGTATGTATGATCTAAATTGTATGCTATGTCCATGCTTCATTTAACTATTTTAAAATCAAACTTATTAGCTCGATGGATTCAATTTTTATAAGAATAAAATCTATGATTTTTTTTATAATTATCGCCATTATTTTGATCATCCTAATTAAATTATAAGGTAATATTTAATTTTATATTAGAAAAACAAAGTTTTATATAATTAAAAAGTTAGATGGTTGGAAAACTTAAATATAAAACATTATTTAAAATAAATATAATCAGAGTTTTAAAATTTTATTATTTATTTTAATTCATCAACAATTGTATCATAATGATGTGTGTATTGTCAATGATTTAAAAAAATTATGAACAAGTAATATTTTCCGATCACTGCAAACCATTTTTATATAAAAATATATTAATTTCTATCATTAATTTTATATATTTATTTTTATTTATACAATAATAATAAAAATACGTAAAAAAACTACGCTATATATTATAGACAAATATTTAACTCTCTTACTCTACAGATAATAGTAAATAATTAACAATCAATTAGTCTAATGGGATGAGATACTAAATCCTTTAAACAAAATCAGGAGATTAAATGATGACAATTACAAATGAGTTAAACTGAATTAAACTGAGTTAAACTGAGTTGAGAGTATGGTACATGCCGTTGTTCCAATATTATTACAAATATACAGCTTTTGTTTTTGGTTAGTTACTGAGACCAAAGCATAAGCTAAAAGAAACACAAAATACTACGTTAAAACAACAACCAAACTTCCAATTCCATGTCCGGAAACATTCACGAAAAATGACACAATTTAGTAGAAAAACTGTTCATGTCGATATTAAGTGGAGTATACTAGAAAGGGTATCGATTTTTCGAAGATTTTTTAGCTTCATTTGGGATAAAGTTGTTTTTTCTATAGGAAGGCCTATTCCGTATAGGAGATTGACTCGCCCGGATTCATCATCATCATCTTCTCCGGTGGAAATTGTGGTGGTCGACGACGGTAAGGCCTTGCCGGAGGAGGATCATCCTCCGATGATATGTAATGGGTACGAAGCGGATTCCGATTTGGTTAGTTTGAAGATCAGTTTGTTAGGCGACTCTCAAATTGGAAAAACCAGCTTTCTGGTAAGAGCATGGTTTTGATTCTTTCTTCTTCTTCTTCTTTTCGGTTCTTTGATGAAATATCACTTATAATAAGTGGTTTTTAATGGTTTATTTTTTCACGTTTGAAGATCAAATATGTTGGGGATGAACAAGAGAAAAGCTTACAAATGACTGGACTAACTTTAGTTAACAAAACATTATTTGTTCAAGGTGCCAAGATTGCTTTCAGCATATGGGATGTAGGAGGTGAAGATTTTAATCAATAAATTTGTTTTTGAACTCCCAGTTTGTTCTTCTGCTGTCAAACTGAGTTTTCTTGTTCCATTTTTTCCTTCCTTTGATTATTTGGTTGCAGGTGATAGTAACTCACTAGATCATCTTCCAATTGCTTGTAAAAATGCCGTGGCAATCTTGTTTATGTTTGATCTAACTAGCCGATGCACCCTTAACAGGTTAGCTTTAAAGCCTGTTGGGGAAACAAGTATCGAATTTGATAGTTTTACAGTATTTACACTTCTTTTTCTTGGATCTTGCAGTGTTGTTGGATGGTATAGTCAAGCAAAGAAGTGGAATCAGGTACTAAAACCAGTGTTTTATGGTAGATTTTCTTTTTCTTTTTTCCCCTTTCGGAGTAGTTGGAATTATGTGCTTGGCCAAATTTTCCCACACCTGAGAAATGAATGATCAGTGTAGTATCTGTTCTGAGTTTTTTTTTACTTATTAACAACGCACGAATATTCTACACGCACAAACACAAGTGCTTGAATCTGGATTCTTTAAAATGAATAATATTCATTTTTATCACTAAAACTGCTCAATAGATTCAGAAAGTGATATTGATTCTTGAAATCGGAAATGTTACTGATGAATGAATGAGTAGTATTCAATTTTTCCTAAATGTTTCCAGTTTATACTTATCGATGTCTTGCAGACAGCAATTCCAATAATAATAGGAACAAAATTTGATGATTTTGTCGGCCTTCCACCAGATTTGCAGTGGACTATTGTGACTCAGGTATATTTGTTTTAGACATACATTCATATTCATATTCATATTCGAATCTAATGAAATTATGTATATATTTATCTTAGAAGTGATTGGTCTGAATAAGAGGAATGTCCTGGGAGTCTCCCTCTGTCAATTCTCAGACAAAACCTTTCTTTTTCCAGTCTCAAACAGTGTTTAAAGATTGAAACACAAGGGGCCAACTTGATTCAAGTATAGCAAATTGGAAAGTTAATTACTTTACAGTTTTGATGTTTTTTATATCACTATTTTGATTTAACAGTAATCAAACTTGAGTTTGAATCTTCTTCTTTATTTGTCAAACAGGCAAGAGCATATGCCAGGGCAATGAATGCAACCCTTTTCTTCTCAAGCGCTACACATAATATCAATGTCAATAAGATCTTCAAGTTCATCATGGCTAAACTCTTTAACTTGCCATGGGCAATTGAGAGAAACTTGACCATTGGGGAGCCGATTATCGACTTCTAAAATTTTATGTTATTCGAATTTGATTTGGATATATGTCGAACACAAGCATATGTTCAATAAAGATGCGTTCAATTTTTTTTCGAGTTCTTATGGTGTTAAGAAAACACATTGGATACGAGTAATGAGCATAAATATTGAATATAGACATTGAACACAAATACTAAATGAAAAACATGAAAAGTGGGTTCCAGGTACCTAATTTCCCCGTCCAACAGATGTTTATGCATATAGAAGAAAGAGAAATACAACAAGTACAAAGGAAAGAAAAGTTTGTTCAATCAGTATCAACTGAAAGAATATGTAAGAGATTATATTACAGGCTTTAGTAAAAAAGTAATGTTCATTGGGAATTTTCATTTATTATAAAGTATTTATATAGATATGAAATATCATATTTAAAAGAGACGGGTATTTTTTTAATATCACTCACTCAGACCTATGAAATGAAAGGATCCATAATCATGGTACAATTAAAAATGATTACGGTGTGCAAAAAGTAAAAGCACCAGAAACAATATAGAAGTTAGGAAAAGTAGCCGTCCAAAGATTAATCTACAATTTTTTCTGCAAATTTAGTTATTCGCAATACAAGGTACCATTCTTGTGCCACGTTATGAATATCATTAAAAAAGCACAAACAGCAATGGCTGCTTTGAAGAGAACATCGGCATACACGAGTCCAAACTAGATCCATCTAAGTTCTACAAGAAACCTCTTCATTCTCGAATGCAGAAAACCGATTACATCGATATCGTTCTTTGTATTTTGTGAGAAAGGTGTTGAGATAATAATCTCACCCCTAGAGCATGCTGATGAGACAGACTTGGTGGTCGTCTAATTGTACGTGTACGTCTCACTGGTTGGAGTTCTCGTGCAGTAGAACATACTCTCGGCTGCAAAAGCCCGAACCACATGATTTAAAAGGCTACCAATATCAAAGCACAACAACAAAGATATTTAAGCATACACTACAATCGAATTATTTCACCATAAAACCAAACAGATTATAACTAATTTCTACCAAGGATGCAATTGGAGACTCTTTCGGCATTGAATTCATTAACAATAGAGCAGTGTCTAAAGCAACATCAATGAATCGATTACTTCCTCGCATTTACACAAACAACATAACGATGACAAAAACAATAATAGCACCACCAAAATGCAGTGTGAGAACCGGAGACCGACCAAAACAGGAAAGCATTTTATCAACATCATGGTAGCTTGGTGGAACTATTACTAATACCTTATGCATGCATACTCTCTTACGTGTTGTTCTATATTACTTTCATTCCTATAATGCAACTAAAACATAAATGCTGAACATTGACAAGGGCCCTACCTACTGTTACCAAATTTAATGGTGTCTTTCTCAAAAAGTTCATAATAACGTTGGGGTTCGATTGGATTGTCCTGCAAATACAAAAGGAAAGTTTAGATGAAATTATAGGAATCCAATCAAGTTTCTATGCAATTCATAAAGATTTTGAGATGAATTGCTCACATTAATGAAAGTTTTGTTAGTGCTTCCAAGGTCCATTATATAAGGCCTAAGAGGTAAAGCAAAACAGAATAAGAGAAGAATTCATCACGATTAATCGTAGCTAACAGAAGTAAAATTCCAAATCAGCTTAACCATACTTTACTTCCTTGGTTATTGTACCATCAGGTTGCTCTTTCTCTACTTGCCTGGTCAAGAAAAAAACATTTAGTTAAATAATGTTCAGAACAAATGCCGAGAATAGAATTGCTAAGAAAAAATATACCGGAATTGAATGACAGCATGTTGCTTGCTACAGGATGGATGGTCTGTGGGTACATCAGCTACCCGCCTTTCCCTCCCGAAAAGGTAACAGCTCTGGCGATGTATATAAAGGGGCTCTGCCAACAAGATGAATTAGAAAACCAACCAAAATCAAGGGGGATAAGTTCCATGCTTTCTTGAACAGTCATCAACTTTTAACCTAAAAGAATTGCCAACATAATGAGAACAAGCTCTAATCTCCCAGTTCCAATGAAATAGCAACAAATAAGTATAAATTCTCGATCCCCCAACATGTAAAAGTTTTTCTCGACAACTGCAATGATATGGATCTTGGAAAGGCAAAATTTAAAACAAAAAGGTCAAACTGTATTAAAGAAACATAGGAAGATAACATATGATATAGGAAGGATGCGATCTTGGACTAACCATTGAGTACTTCACCAGCTTTGAAAACATAGAGGCGCCATCTTATATTAGGTTTTCGAGCATCGGGTGGTTCATTGAATAGCAGAGTCACACCTCTAACTCTGTTGGTTTCTGCTGCAAGTTTTCCTGATAGCTCAAACGTAGGTTTTTGCTGCAAGTTACAACAACAGTAAATAAAAGATAAATTAAACGCCAGGCATAAGATTTATCTAACTAGTTAAGAAACATGTGTCAATTTTTATCAGACAGGGTCCTTTTCATAATTTCATAAAAGATGAGAGACCAATATATAAATATTTCAAAATATTGGATTTAATAACTTATTACAAACTTATAAGGTTAAAAATAATATACATAAAGTTTCCACGTAAAATAATCCACTAAAATTACTTGAAATTCTAGGCAGTATGAATACAATAGAACCACAGCGTATCTAACTAGTTAGGAAACAATTTGTCACACAATTATAGAACACAACAAATAAAAGAAAGCTAGCAGCCAAGTAATTTGTTACCTTTTGTTTTGCTTCCAAGGCTTCCTCGGCTTCCTTCATCTTAGCGACAGAATCATCTTCATCATCCCTGCTTAGGAACACAATGAAATCTATTGTCAGACTATTCAGAACTTACAAGAATGAAACAAAAACCATATTACTCTGGCTTAGGTGTGTGCCAGATACAGATATGAATACGTTTCCTAAATGGCCATGTTCAATGCTTTCCAAGTTTTCCCACATGCATGGGTTCTGGACAAGGATACTTCAAGAAAAATGGAAGAGTCAGCATAACAAGCGTAACCATAATAATAAACTAGAAACCTAAAAGAGCAAGTAGATTCAACAAAATATTTTCCCCCATAACACATAGGAGGAAGATAATAAATCATGCGACAGCCATCATCATATAAAAAGCAAAGGAACTAATAGATCATAAAAATATAAAGAAAGCTCAGGGCAAAGTGGACATTAATTATTTAATTTTTTAAAGAAAAAATCCCTCATATAATAACATTAACCTTTAGATTTTGTAATTCTTTGACATCAACAATTCCCCCTCCCCGTACAAAAAAGAATAATAATAATAAGCCCAGAGGGCTTCAAACAAATGGCATAAATCAAACTTGTAAATAACATAATTTTTATATGTTAAGAAATATCCTCGGTGCAGATTAAAAGAAGATGAAGAAGGCGTCGTACCAGTTTTCAGCACCTCTTGAGCTAGTCACCTAAAATGAAAAGTTTTTGACGATAAACCATTAGACATCAATTCAAGATAAAGAAAAACAGGAAACATATTATAACTGAAAATGCATATCATCACATGTGTTTACTGTGTTTGTTAGCGTGAGAATGTGAAAATGCAGCTCCAAATAATGAAAAATACAAACTGTAAACAAAAATAAGCTAAACGAGAAAGAAATAAGTGGATATAAGGGGACACCTCATCCCGAGCTCTTGAATTTGATGCAGGTGAGCGAGATCTATGCCTGCTCCTATGGTGGCCATCAGATGGAGAAACAGACCGCTCATGTCTTCCTCTGCTAGACTTGCTATCCATATCATCTCGTCCCAACCATCTATCCTTTCTGTCACTCCCCATTTCTCTATCCGAGCCTCTTTCCCTCTCAGATGTCCTTTCCTTCCCTGAAGCTTTATCCTTATGGGCACTCTTCTCACTACCCCTGCTATGATTTCTCTCATATTCCCTCTCCTTCACTTTCTCAACCTCCTTTTCATCCTGTGCTCTCCTCAGCCTCTTTGTCTTGGGAGAAGGAGACCGCAAACTTGGATGTTTTGGAGACTTAGTAAGGCCAGAACATTTCTCCCTTTCCGGGGAATGATCCCTGTGAGACCTCCTGTGCCGAGGAGACTTTTTTCCTGTTGGGGAGCTTCCTTTATGCGAACTCTTGTGTCGTCCAGGTGATCTTTCTCTGTAAGATGGACTCCTCCTATGAGGAGACTCGGAATGGTTGGACGAATTACGTCCCATTCTCTTGCCAGTAAAAGTCAGCCAACACTTTCAGTCTGAAATATGTAAAACATAGATTCAGCAATTGAGAACAAATTAGAACCATTGATGCTATAAAGATTTGGTGGTGGGGGGACATTTATATGGTTTTTAATGTCCTTTTCCTCAACCAAGTCAACAATTCTAGAAATTAAATATGGTTCAAACACAGTTTCGATAAACCATAGCTTAGTTTCGAGCTAAGATTAAAGAGTAGCACTGTAGCATTACCAGAGTGTAGAACAATTCAAACACAGTTTCGACCATTGCAATACAACATAACATATTTCAATTTCTTCAACGATATTACACCAACAGCATAAGACAATAGTTTAAGCGTCGGCTAACTTTTATAAGTAGGCACAAATATGGTTCTAAAGACTAAAATTAATAACATAAAACTCGGTTACAGAGCATGGCAAATTAATAGAAGTTTACAGAACTGTCTAAGTTAAAACACGGTAGCACCATAAATCATATACGAAATGACCAAAAATAGGCAAAATAAAGAATAACCAGAACGGGTAAATATCAAAATATTCATAAAAACAATAATTTATCCGAAAATAATAGCAATGAGAACATATATTACAACCAAAATGGGGAAACAAATTGCTTCGACCCTCGGCTTCATGAAAGAAAAGAAAAAACAGGTAAAGATTAAGTCTTTAAAGGAAAAGAAAAGGCAATAACTTGCTCACCAGGAAAAATGAAACTGTTTGATGTTAAATCGTAGTATGGCTTCAAAAACAGAAGAAGAACAAGGGGAAGAGAAATGCAGATTCTGATTTGATAAGGGTTTAGGAGCGATAATAGAAAGAAAGGGGAAGCCCATTGAGAGATGAATGATCAATATCCAATATAAAGCCCAATATTTAGCTTCAAATTGCACAAAGCTAAACCTTAAGAATCTGAAATTTAACAGAGCCCATAAATTAACCCAATAAATAATAATTCCAACCCTAACTATGTAGTGGATTTAGAACTATAATATTAAAGATGTAGTGGCCCAGTTGAAATAAAACAATGAAAAAGATTTGTATAAGAGATGACGCGACGAATTTATGCCTTGTCAACTTCTTCATAATTGGAAATTGTTTTATCAAAATTATGCTTAATGTTACTTTTTTATTATATTTTTTCATTCATCGTTAAAAAATAACGATAATACTAACGTGTTACTATAAGATAATATTACGTCATCATTAAAAAAAATTAAAAATTATTGTGAGTAGTTCTATTTATTTTTTGGCAAAAAGGTACCTAAGTTCCCTGAACTTAAAAAATACCCAATGTGCCCTTCATCCTAGTTTTTGGATCAATGTGTCCCTCCAACTTTAAAAAAGAATCAAACGTGATCATTTGACCAATATTTTCCGTCATTGACTAACGATTCCATTCATTATTGTTATTATAAATTGAGTAAATTACACCATTCATCACTAAAACATTTTACCATTCATCACTAAAATATTTTATTCTCTTCTATTTTGGACGCTAAACTCAAGCATTGAAATTATCCTCGACTTTTTTCTTCTACTCTCACCATTGTCGCTACCACTAAAAGGATCCTCGATAACATCAGTAGCACTCAAAATTTACAATGGAGGTGGCTCCCTTAAAGAAGAATCGGGAGAGTGATTTTTTTCAGTATAAAATCCCCTTCCCACATCGAAAAATTCTTCTAATAACTGTGGTGAAGGCCTCAGAAACCTCGATCCCTTCAGAATCGAAGCATAACCGGTGGCACTAGCACCGGCAGAACCAATAATGCTTGGAACCACAAATCCTAAACGTATTTAAGATCACGTCATACTTATGAACTACTTTCATGGAAGTAAACAACATCTCTACATCTCTAAAAGTAAGATTTGATTGTCATACTTCAGTTATTGAGTTGAACCAATTGGGGGGGGGGGGGAATTCCGAAGGGTTGCTTGAGGATTTCATCCCAAAAATCAACACCCGACAATTGGGTCACAGCAGTCGATTTGTTTTCCATTGTTTACCATAAAGATATTAGTTAAAGAAAAACAAAACTTGCAAGTCACCGTTGCTGTTAAAACAATAAAAACATGGCATTTTATAAATTCCCAAATACATTGTCTCAAAATAAATGAATCATAAATACCTTCGATTTTAAATAAAGTGTAAATAAACAAAATGATAGAATGAATAAATTATTAAATCGTTCATATAATATTTATTAATGTTCATTTATTAAGTCAAATAAAAGAGTGAATATAATTTTTATACTAATTTAATAAACAAATTAATATGAACAAATATATATTTGATTCATTTATGTTCACAAACTTTTATAAGTTCGTTTACTAAATTTCTTTTTTATATTTTAAATATTAGTAAATGTAGAGCCTAAATTAAATCTAAGATAAAACTATATATCATTCTTTTTATGTTCACAGACGTTAAATAAATATATTTACAAACATTAAATAAAGATATTCATAAACATTAAACGAATATACTCACAAACACTAAAAAAACAAACGTGAAAACTTTAAAAACATATGAACAAATATAAATATAGTACTAAAATTTAAACAAATACAAATACAATACTACAAATTTAAACGAATTTAAATTATTTTAAAAATAAACAAATGGTACATACATATTCCCAATTTTATTAGTTCAAACTCAATTAGTTTACGCAAACTAAAATATTGAAAATAATAATTTTAGTAAAACATATCATTTGCGTTCAAAATATCAATGCCCAAAATTCTAAGCATTGAAATTAATTATCAATCGGTAAATTATCAACTTAATATAGTAAGAGATTATAAGCAACACAAAAACCTAAAGGATCCAATGAATAAAATGGATTCAAACAAGCATTGAAACTGGAAAGAAAAGCTTTATGAAGATGAAATTTATTTAATATATCGTACTGGCACCCGAAACTTCAACCACAAACAAAGGACAACACAAGTTCTTTAACAAGTTATTTTTGATAATAAGCTGCAGCTGCCATAGCATGCAGTAACCTCACATAAACATAAACATAAATCACTAAAGACATCAAACATGACTGGACTGCAGTAGGGTTCCCCTCCATAATTCACACTTAAAAGCCACCACGGAGTCGAAGGACCAAGTGCAAAGTTGATTCCTTCTGGATGTTGTAGTCTGCAAGGGTCCTCCCATCCTCAAGTTGCTTCCCAGCAAAGATCAACCTCTGCTGATCCGGGGGGATTCCTTCCTTATCCTGAATCTTGGCCTTGACATTATCAATCGTGTCCGAGCTCTCAACCTCTAGGGTGATGGTTTTCCCGGTGAGGGTCTTCACGAAAATTTGCATCCCACCACGAAGACGGAGCACCAAGTGGAGGGTGGACTCCTTTTGGATGTTATAGTCGGCCAAGGTGCGCCCATCCTCAAGTTGCTTACCAGCAAAAATCAACCTCTGCTGGTCTGGCGGGATACCCTCCTTGTCCTGAATTTTGGCCTTGACATTATCGATTGTGTCGGAACTTTCTACCTCCAGGGTGATGGTCTTTCCGGTAAGTGTCTTCACGAAAATCTGCATACCACCACGAAGACGGAGCACCAAGTGGAGGGTGGACTCCTTTTGGATGTTATAGTCGGCCAAGGTGCGCCCATCCTCTAGTTGCTTCCCAGCAAAGATCAACCTCTGCTGGTCTGGGGGGATACCCTCCTTGTCCTGAATCTTGGCCTTGACATTGTCAATCGTGTCGGAGCTTTCAACTTCCAAGGTGATGGTCTTCCCGGTTAGTGTCTTCACAAAAATCTGCATACCACCACGAAGACGGAGCACCAAGTGTAGGGTGGACTCCTTTTGGATGTTATAGTCAGCCAAAGTGCGGCCATCCTCCAATTGCTTACCAGCAAAAATCAACCTCTGCTGGTCTGGAGGGATACCCTCCTTGTCCTGAATCTTGGCCTTCACATTGTCAATTGTGTCGGAGCTTTCAACTTCCAAGGTGATGGTCTTCCCGGTAAGTGTCTTCACAAAAATCTGCATACCACCACGAAGACGGAGCACCAGATGGAGGGTGGACTCCTTTTGGATGTTATAGTCAGCCAAGGTGCGGCCATCCTCTAGTTGCTTACCAGCAAAAATCAACCTCTGCTGGTCTGGGGGATACCTTCCTTGTCCTGAATCTTTGCCTTGACATTGTCAATTGTATCTGAACTCTCCACCTCCAATGTAATGGTCTTTCCGGTGAGGGTCTTAACAAAGATTTGCATACCACCCCTCAATCGAAGAACCAAGTGGAGTGTGGATTCCTTCTGGATGTTGTAGTCAGCAAGGGTCCGGCCATCCTCCAGCTGTTTACCAGCAAAAATAAGCCGCTGTTGGTCTGGAGGGATTCCCTCCTTGTCTTGGATCTTGGCCTTTACATTATCAATGGTATCAGAACTTTCCACCTCAAGGGTGATGGTCTTGCCAGTGAGCGTCTTGACGAAAATTTGCATCTATTTTGAATCAAAATAAAACACAAATAAGATTAAATAAACCAAAGAAAAACAAAAGTTTGTTATAACCAGGTCCAAGCCAAACAAAGCATATTAAATAAAAAATTTCAAGCAAATATGTAAAAATCGTACGAGTAGGGTAGGGTCTTAAAAATAATAGCTTCCAAGCCATATATTTCATCAGAAAAAGGTATGGTATATAGATTTATGTTCTGCGATTTAATATTTTATAACCCTCAAATTGAAGAGGGGAATCCTAAGTTCGATTCATAAGGTTCAAGGAACAATTAATCGGAAGATGAAATAAAGAACTCATAACCGAGTAAATTAGAAGAAGAAGCAGAAGATCAATTTATGACCTACGGTTGAATTATAAGAAAACCCTAAAAACCACAAGGGAATAATATCCCTAACCTTATTCATAGAGTTCATGCGAAACATTCAACAAATAAATAAATTACAACTTAAAACTACTGGAATCGAAAAACAAAAAGAAAGGCAGAAATTAGAATGAATTTAATTACCTTCAAGGAGGATTTTGAAAGGGTTTGGATCGATGAATTTAATATCGCAATTCTTGAAATTGCCAGGCCTAGGTCGCCTTAATTTATAGGCGGAATTAGAACGTCAAATGACGAAAAAGGGTTTGAGTTCAACCAATGGAATAAGAATGCGTGTTATAGTCGTGTCTTTTAGCCCTTAGTTTGACCTGCACGCATGGATTACAATTGGATTCTGTCGTGGTGTGCTATATATTATTAAAAGATTCCAATTGAACACGCGCCTCTAAAGAAAGTTCATAAGCGCGTCTCAATGACGTCAAAAATGAACAAGGTTAAATTGAATTAATATTTTCCTTAACTCCATTACTATATTTGCACCAAATAATTGATGTTTTTCGTCGGATAAACTATCAAAATGATCTCTTTAGTTTCATAAATATTCACTTTTGGTCACATAATTTCATATTTCTAGTTATTCAACTATGTCATTTCTTACACCACCAAAACATGTGATCGTTTGTTGAAGTGTATCTAATATAAAAATTAGCTGACCCTTATTCTCATATGTAATGGGGTAATGGAAGGTAAGATAGTAGGTTGCCCTCAACGTCAGATTGAGAGCAGCTTCCGTGGAAACCTCCAAATTATGAATTATCCCCCGTGAGACTCGATCTCACGGCCCCAAGGTTAAGAGCCTTGTGCTCTACCAACTGAGTTAGACGGGCAATTATTGAAGTGTATCTAATATGAGTAGTTCTATCGTACGACAGCCTTAATATACGGTTAAGGAAACACGCTACCGTAAATGTTAATATTTTTTTTAAATATTTTTAGCTAAAAAATTACTTAAAACATTATTTTTTTTACCTAAAATATTAATATTTTTTAATATTTCTGATAATATTAATATTTCCGGTAAAAAATAATATTCGCATCGTAAGTGGACGTAGGAATAAGAAAAGAATATCCACATCCACCCACTTATTTGTCATCCCAACTTGTGTCTTCTTCCATCGTATATAAGTTATAGCAGGGTCGGGTAAGATAATCCCCAAAAATATTAAAGAAGGAAGAAGAGTTGTTTACATATCTATCAAAATATAAAATTAAAATATTAAATTTATATCTTATCTTAAAAACTAGAATTAATATTAATATTTTATTTAAAATTTAAAGATTAAATTAAAAAGTAATCAACTTTACTAATATGTCAAAAAATTATAATGATCAAATGTTACAAATCAATAGCATATGAAACCAAAGTCAGCAGTTCAATCTTTTACCCTTTTTAAGGCATTGGAGATGATGACAAGATAATTGATTTTTCAACTTAGCATGGCTGGGAGGCTAGAAGTCTACATCATACTTACTTGACTGATGTACTAAAATAGAAAATAAAACGTGCTACTTTATCAAGAGGATGAATACCATTGTCACAGTAAGCTTTAAAGGTATAAAACCATGGTTTTCAGAATCGAATCGGTTAGTGAATCGATCGTGCTACTAGTTTACTGATTCAACCGATTGAATCGGTCAGATCGATCGTAAGAATCGGACGACGTCATAATTATTTTAAAAATTAAATAAAAATTAAATAAAAAAATTAAAAAATTTAGGTTGAACCGGTTCAAAGTCCGGTCCTGTTCGAACGATTCAAAGCCGGTTCGAACGGTTCAAAGCGGTTCACTAACACCGATTCAACCGGAATATAATGGACCGGACTAGGCAGCAGTTCCCGGTTGAACCGGACGGTCCGGTCCGATTTTCAAAACAATGGTATAAACAGTACTATCGCAATGTAAACAATACTATCGCAATGTGATTTTCAAATTCGCAACGCTAATTACCTATATAAGTACTATCGTAATGTGAACAGTACTATCGCAATGTGAACAGTACTATCACAATGTGAACAGTACTATCGCAATGTGAACAGTGATATCGCAATGTGAACAGTGATATCGCAATGCGATTTTTAAATTCGCAATGCGATTTTTAAATTCGCAACGCTAATTACCGATGTAGGTAAACACAACTATTACAACGCGAATTTCTGAAACTGAGTTGGGAATTTGTGAAATTCGCGTTGCGAATTTGGAAACTGTGTTGCGATTTACAAATTCGCGTTGTGATTTACAAATTTACGTTACGATTTTAAAAATCGTATATTATAATAAATTTTCGGTCACTGAAGTTATTTTCTCTAAATATCTAGATATTGGTTGTGAATAGTGCCAAAAATAAGAATCAGGTAAAGTTAAAATAAAATAGAAAAATAATTGTTAACTTTATTTAAAAGTAATTTATTATCCAAATAAAAATTTATTAAGCGAGTTTAATCATAAAAATAATGTTATTATTCTTATAAATTATAAATTTAAACATTTACATACATAGAATGTATGTACATTATCAATATTTATAATTTTTTTAAATAAATACTATATTATAAATAGCACTTAATAAAATTCATACATCAATATAAGAATTCTTTTCAGAATCAACCATCAATTTAAGAAAGAAAAAATCATGTCTTAATTTGAGAAAAAATATTAAATTCATACACTAATAACCTCTAGAAGTAGTAGGTTAAATTATGTTATAAATCCTTAAACTTTTTGTACATTTAAAATTTACTCATCTTTTTTTTACATTTACATTTAAAAATTTAAAAATTCAAGATCGTTTTTTAACATTATTAAATTTAAGTATATGATATTTTGGAATGAAAGAAATACTAGCTTAATAGTTATGGAACAGAAAAGATGACATTTGCATATGGATTAAAAAACATAAAAATTAAAATTTTAAAATTATAATATTAAAAAAATCTAAAATACGAAAAATACCCAAACTTCTAGATTTTTTAACCAAAACTATAATATATAGATTTGTAATTATTTCCCGAGAATATTTTAACCATTGCTTACGGGACACCTAAGGAATATTTTTTTCAATTTTTAGCTTTTGGGTTAATTCGCTAATTTGGCCTTTATTTACTAATAATTTTTTTAATTAAAGACAAATTACTAGTTCAAGTGGAATCTAATCCAATATAAAAACCTACAAGTTGCAATAAACTAACTTTATGAACAACTCAAAATCCCATTTCTTCACGTGGAATTGGATTAGTCAACCATAGGCAATGTCTAGGTTGTTTGGTACACATTTCTAGGTAATTTCCACATCATTACATGTTAATTTAATTTGACTAATTATTTTATCAAGTTAAGTCTTTCTTTAATGACAAATTAAATCAGCTTTATTACACTATTACTATAGAACAAAAGTTTGCCAAGGACACTGCAAACCAATAATTCTTTACCTACAATACAGAAAAAGCTAATCTGTGATGTCCTTGGCCCTTCATTTTCCATCATTTCTTTCTGTTGAACCCCCAACCCTTTGCAAAGCTTCGCCGGAGAAACCGATTTCCGGTCGCCGGAAAACATGTCGGCTCCCCGTGATAAACAAGGTTGTGGATGTTGTGGGGGCATCTTCAGTTTGGGTCTTTCTGCAGTTTTCTTGTGGCTATGGATACATACTTCAAACCCCAGGTGCTCCATTCAAACTCTGTCCTTACCTTCACTTAGCGGAGCCTCAAACCTCACATCTGACCCTACCTTGAGCCTCACGCTGAGGCTGGTGAACCCGAACCAGCTCAAAGGGATCAAGTATGATCCTCTGAACGTCACAGTTTATGATTTTCCGAACAGGAGTAATGTCATAGGTAACATTTCGATGCCGGGGTTTTACCAGGGGTACATGAAGAAGGCTTCGAAGCTAGGTCGAGGGACAGCTAACATGTCGGTGGTTTTGCCGGCGACATCGGAGAACGGAACGGGGGTTTTCCGGGTGCAGATGGCGACGGCGGTGAAGTTTAGGACCATATATGGGTATTCGAAGAGGCATAGGATCAGGGTGGGAGCAGATGTGGTGGTCAACGCTAGTGGTGTTAAGGTTGATCCTAAAGGGATCAGGCTTAGGTCGATGGCACCCAAGATGACGGGAAGTTCCTTTGCGGTGCTGGTAGCTTTGGTGAATTACTTGTTCTTCCCTTTGCTTTGCTTTTGGTGAGTTGTTGCTTTTCTGTTTTGGACGTTGACTGCGAGTTAATTATTTGTGTCCCAGGCTCGGTAATATTTTTAAAGATATATTCGTATTTGATACTTATTTAAATTAGATTGTGTTTGGTTCACGGAATATAAGATTATCAGTGAGAATAAAAGATTATCAAAGAATAAGATTACTGGGAATGTTTTATTTTGTGTTTGGTTGGTTTAGCAATATTAAGAAGTGAATATAACAGAAAGTATACACAGGAAAGAATGACTTGTTATTCATCTCAGTTGGTGCATTACATTTATAAGAGAAGATTAAGCTATCATTAGCTTCCAATAATCGTCTAACAAACTAACACTCTTAGCTAATCAACCTAATAGACTAACTGCCTCCTCATGCATGTGTTGTATTGATAACAGTCTAACATTCCCTCTAATTTCTCTTCCTCCTTCAACAAGGTAAGACACATCCTTCCGTTTGACTTGAATCGGAAGTGCCGATGCTTTCTTCCGTTCGACTTGAATCGGAAATGCAGATGCTTCCCTCCGTTCGACTTGAATCGGAACAAACTTTTGATGTGAATGAACATTCAACAAAAAATTCTAAAAGAAAAACCTATTCTATAACAACAATGTGAAACAAACCAAACACCAACAATACTTAAGAAAATGAAGGTAATGACATTTCGGGTAATATACCCCAAAAAATCTACTATTGATAATGTAAGATTCCCGGGAATGACATTCTCGGCCAATCAAACAGGGAATGACATTCTCAGCCAATCAAATGGGGAATGTGGATTATATTCCCATGGGAATCTCACATTCCTCCAACCAAACACATCTTTAATAATAGAGTTAAAGAGAAAATAATTTCAGTAACCGAAAATGCCTTATAATATACGATTTTAACCAACTTTTTTTGAATTTGCGAAAATAATCAACAAATTCGCAAAGCGAACTCCAATTTCGCAACACAGTTTTCGAATTCGCAATGCGATTTTATTTTTCGCAACGCGATTTTATTTTTTGCAACGTAAATTTCTAAATTCGCAACGCGATTTTATCTGATAAATTTTAGAAATTACGCAGCAACAACAACTCATTCCATTTTGTTGTGATCTATGTCTATTTTCGCAATGCGAACTTAAAGTTTCGCAATGCGAACTTAAAGTTTTGCAAACCAAAAACATACACCTTTTTGACATGTAACCCAAGCTTTCATCGTCTGTGATCTCTGTTTATGGTTTCTCATGTCTCCTCTATTGTTTTCAACTGTAATTATAACCCTCCTTTTGTTCTTCGCTAAGGTAGTTTCATATTTTGATTTCGTTTACAACACCGACTTCAACTCCATAAATCTCTTCACTTTGGGCGATGCCACCATTGATTCTTCTTCAATTCTCTCCCTCACAAACGCAACTTTCTCCATTGGTCGTGCCTTGTACCCTTTGAAGATCCCTATAAAGTCATCGAATTCATCAAAGGTACTTTTTCTCTCCACATCTTTCATCTTCTCCATCTCTCCTCTCAAAGGGTTTCTCTCAGGACATGGATTTGCCTTTGTTTTCCTGCCTTCTGCTGGTATATTCGGTGCCAGCTCAGCTCAGAATCTGGGTCTTTTTAACTTCACCAACAATGGTGATCCCAATAGTAACATCTTTGGTGTTGAGTTCGATGTGTTTGCGAACCAGGAATTCGATGATATCAACGATAATCATGTGGGTGTTGATCTGAACTCCTTGAAATCACGTGGTGTTGAGAAGTCGATTCTTGAGTTTGTTCATTCAAGAGCCTTGGATAAACCAAAAGCATCGGCATGATTATGAATTTTGTTTATTTATTAGTTATCTAGCAACTCAACTAATATGCTTCAAACCTTTTAGGTGCATCACTATGCTCTGAATCATTTTGATGCAGATGAATTACGAATGGCTATCAAAGAAGTTCTAGCTCCACAATGTTCTTTGCTTATTTCGAAAAGAAGAAAAACGGAAAAGTAATTAGTTTTGGGTTGTGGGCAATGGGGGTGGGTGATGAAGAAAGGTACTGGAGAGTTCAGAGGATTAACTTTCCCCAAAACCACACACAGTTTTCGCTTTGCGAAACTTTAAGTTCGCATTGCGAAAATAGACATGGCTCCAAACGAAATGGAATGAGTTGCTGCTGCGTAGTTTCTAAAGTTTATCGAATAAAATCGCGTTGCGAAATTGGAGTTCGCGTTGCAAATTTGTTGGTTATTTTCGCAAATCCAAAAAAAGTTGGTTAAAACCGTATATTATAAGGCATTTTCGGTCACTAAAGTTATTTTCTCGTTGTTAAATTAGTTTGTGAGTAGTTTGAGTTGATTTAATTGTGATAAGTATAGTTCAATTTGATTCAATAGATTTGTGAAAAACTTGCTAACTTCTTATAATTTTAAGAATCGATTATATATTGTTAAACTTTTTCTTTCCTTTCAAAAATGGTTATAGTTTGTTAGCGATGAACCTAAACTCTTATATTAGGAAATGTGTATTTTAAAAAATTTAAGAATGAATCAACTCCTAATATTCTAAGGCGAAAACAAATTTGAAATGATTGTCCTCCCTGCCCCTCTCGACCCATCCCTATATGTTAGTTTGATTTGTTTGTGAGTTGTTACATTTGTTATGTTAGTTTGGTATATTTGTATACTATTACTTTGAAGTTTAGATTGCTTCCCACACTATTTTTATCATTATTTTTGCTGATTTTATTAATTTAAGGTTATATTAAGTCATATATTATATTACTAAATAATTATTAGCAGAGACGGATGCAAGATCTTACATTAAAGAGAATTTTAAAAAGGGATGAACTTTTAATACTCACGAAAACAAATTACAATTAAGAATACAAAGAAAATATATAAACTATATGCTAGTTTGAAATTGTCAAGGGGGACTACCCTGCCCCTTCAATCCATCTAGGATGGCAAACTAGAAGGGTAGGTGCGGATACCTCATCCCTCATTCCCATTCATATCTCAATACCCACCTAATATTTTTATATCCGCCACCTACCCACCACTGACGATGAGTAAAATTTTAAAATCCATCCGCCTATGTAGGTATATTCTCAAATCCACTCCCAGACCCACCACTAGACTGGTTACCCACCACCCATCTCGTACCCTCCTGACAGCAACCTCCCAGATTATATAAGCGACAGTCCCCAATTTGAAAAATATTTATACTATAACATTTGGTTAAATTACAAGTCTTGTCATATAAAATCTTAATATTTATAGAATAGTTGTACAAAATTTATATGGTGGGTAGTTAGTGAGCGAGCGAATGTGGGGCGGGCGGATGCGGGGTGAGTAAGGACTCAAACCTATCACCTTCTAACTACCAATGACGGATATGGCTTTTTACATCCACACTCGCCCATTATCCACTAAACGTATACCCATCCCGTCTTAATTAGAGTTGTGCGAAATTCACGAAATTATACATGTAACCCCCTCAGACCGATGTGGATAACCCGATCCGATCTGGAGTGTCACATTAGGGCCACCGAAGCGACCCACCTAAATAAATAACGAAAAATTTAAAACTTTTCTTAAAACATGTAAACTCATAAAATCATTTATGAGTACAAAATAAAATTTATCAGTATTCGAAATATAACAGATTTTCAGACTCATATATAAAGCAAAATACAATTACATGCCCCCTAATCACATGTACCATACTCTGCAAGCAACGCCGGAAGAACTTCCTTACTGATGTTGATAGCTGTATTGGTACAATCTTTTAACCTGCAATGGTGAGTAATAGAGTGAGCTCCGAAAAGCTTAGTAATACAGAACTACCAGATGATGCTATAGGACATGTAGATAAATGGGAAACCATAATTTCCTTATTGAATAAACCGTATACCAATTGCGGAATAATCTGGGTTTCCATTAGTAGTTCATCGAGTAGAAGCCATGAATCTCAATTCATAAGAAACCTTTCATACAGTCACGTTTTCATGAGGTTGAATAAGATGTCTAGTGTGTTCCATCAGTACGATAAAATCATAATAGGTACACTAATCAAATGATAGTTCAGTAAAATCCCATAAACCATATTGTAGTGGAGCTTTTTAAACTCGTATTTTAAAACCATCTTACAAAGAGTTAACCTAAGGGAACATCTTAGGGCATGAGAGCCTACCCAAGATAGATTTTGGGGCCATGAGGCCTACCTAAGAATATATATCTTAGGGCCGAAGGGCCTACCCGAGAATGATCTCAGGGCCGTAGAGCCTACCTAAGAGTCACATTAGGTCCATAAAAAATTTTCAGCTTGATCAGAGCTGTACTTTACAAATCTGTATCTCCAAGATACAGTTTATACAATGATACAAATCCATAAGCCATCACCGTTAAGTCGGTGTATCCATAAAACAGTAACCATAGATTTCAGTGTACCATATGTTAAAATAATAAAACAAATTTTCAAAATATAAGGAACACACTAGAGAATCCAATTATTTTTCAAATGCATTTTGTAGTTATCAATATGGATAACATGAACTTGTGCAATTTGATCAGATTCCAATAATAAGATCTTATTGAAGAGAATCAATTTCTAACCGATCTAATCAGACATTTCAGATTGATACTTTTAGAATTCCACTAAGTTTCTATATGCATCAGGAAAACGTTCAGGAACCTTTATACAAAATAATTCTAAATTCAGATTTACTGCGAGTGATTCCATTACCCAAACAATCAGGGGTATTCAGGAATATACTTTGAATTCTTAGGTTTTCAGCCCAATTGAACCAAATGAGGTATTCAGAATCTTTTCCTTCTGCGTTACTTGCGTTTTCCAACATGACCAAGTGATTTTAGATGAAAATATAGAATCGAAGATTCAAGTCATTTACAATCTATGACTATCGATCATATTATCAAACAACTCGAGTTACACAACTCCCAAACTGATGTATGCCAACAAGTCAATTCATTATCCTTCCAGTGTATTCACTCTTTAATATCATAATGCAGATCCATAGATCATCCCCATAATCATCCCTGAATAAATCCTCCAA